CTGTTCATTGAGATTATTGCATTATTAATTTGACAACCATGTTTTTAACAGGCACTTTTGATGAAAGTATTGATTAGAGACAAAATTATCTTCTAGTAAGATATCAAGCAAGATCCAAGAAATCAAGCAATGTTCACAGTAGGAAATTTTTCTTCTATTTTTCTACAATCAATACAACCAATAGCATGTTGGGCTTTTTAGTCATCCAGTTTTGCTCCATGCAATTTAAAATACAGAAGACAAATTTTCTATCTATTTTTCATTCAGATAATTCTTATCCACACAAAATTTGGGAAACTTTAAGTGTGAAGAAAATAAAAAGCTTTCCCATTCTCCACAATGATTCCTAGTTTTGTAAGCAGTATCATGCCTACCTCAAGAAAAGCAGCCTCATGGATTTACCACCAAGAGGCAAAGGCTTCCCCATGACGAGTGGACTTTTCAGTGAGGAGCTCTGAAAGCCGGGAAGCAGACCGTGCACCCCACCTTCCAACACCCGGTGCAAGCACCGTGCAATTAGGTCGCTGTGGGTGTGGCTGTACATCCACATCCTGGTGTTGAGTGATTTCATGACTTCAGTGTCATGCGCTGCTGGAAGGGGATTTTCCTCTTTGTGGAAATGAATATTCCCTGCATTTGACTTCCATCTGTGGTTGGATGAAGTTCTAGGTTGAAATCATTTGAATACGGCTTCTGCTTCTACAAGCAGATGTGTTCTGGAAATGCAGGTGACTGTTGGCTACATAAGGTAATGATCTAGCATGTAACCCATTTTTTCCTTTTCATTAAGTTCATTTAACATACTGTCCAAGAGTCTAAGCATTTTACATTATTATGCAGAAACAGTTCACCTTATCTAAATATATTATGCCTAATGACTATATCATCCTTAAATGGCTGTGTGAAAGTGCAGCTCTGTGCCAGTGTTTCTGAAGTCATTAGCCAAAGAAACTTTGAAGCTTGCTGGAGGCTTAGGCACTGGTGAGGGTTAGACCAGGGAAGACAACAACGACAAGGGGTAAGGATCAAGAAGGCTAGACCTCTACATCTTTGTACTTGGGCCTTCCCCAGACCATGATCTGTTCTTGGAAGGTTACATGCATCAGCAGGAGCTCAAGTACAAGACTTTGGTCTTCTGGTTCCTGACTTTGGCTGCAGAACCTGGCCCTCAAGCCAAGCCAAATGTTGACCTCCCAGGGAGGAGGCCATGTTTGTAAAAAGCTCTCAAAGTGAGACTCTCTACCAGCTGTTGGGCTCATCCATCTTCAGGAATTATTGTCAAGTAACTGGATCCTTCAAAGATGGGACATATGGGGTCTTTAGTTAATTTCTACGGCTGGTAGCTTTGATATGAGAAATCCAAACAGAGGTAATGACAAACAGGGACAATTAAGACCATTCTAGGCATTCAAGAGCAACTATTTCTCTCTTTCTCTGACCCAAAGAACATGCTATAGATATATGCTGCCAATGATGTGAGATGTGCAGGGTAGGAGCAGGTGACTGCCCCAAAGGTCTAGACTAGACCTCAAGTGGACTATAACAGGACCCCAAGAGGCTCCAACCAACCTACGTCAGAATCTCTAGGGAGCATGCTAAAAATGAAGAAGGCTATCCTCTGACTTCCCCCATCTTGTGGTCAGGAAATTGCATGAAGGAGCATTTTCTAGAGGACAGAATTTACAACAGCAATGGCTAGCTTCCTCCAACAGTGGAAATGCCACTTGTTGAAAAGAGGCTGCTGTGGAGTGGATGTCTGCATGTTGCCCCTCCCACCTCCATTCAAGAGTTGCAATCTAATCCCCAGTAACATGATATTTGGAGATGGATGGTCTTTGCAGGGTAATTAATTCCTGAGGTTGATTAATTTCCTTACAGGAAACCTAAAGAGGTAGAGAAAGGTAGCTGGCTGTCCTGTCCTTTGAGGACACAAGAAGTCACAAGTTCATAACTTATGACTGCCACCACCAGGACACCTCAGGTGACAGATCTTTCATAAACAATCAATCTGCTCTCCTGGACAGGAGGAGGCCTTTCCATGCTAATTTGGGACAAGATTGAAAGTAATTGCCAGGTACAAATTTTGGCCACTGAAAACACAGGAAGTCTAAAGTCTTACCAGAACCCCAGGAAGTCCGAAGCCTTACCAGAACCTCACCATGCTGGAATCCCAATTTCAGCTTTCAGGTCTGTGAGAAATAAATCTGTTGTTTATAAGCCACCCAGATTATAGGATTTTGTAATAGCAGACTAGGGTCAAACAAATGTCCAGTGCCCAGGCAAGAAAATAACAAAAATTATGAACAACCATATACCAGAGATATTCTGTGAGGGTGGAGTGGGGAATGGGATCAAAAACGGGAGGGGTGGAGAAGGGAGGGAAATGCACGGGACTATGGTGGTGGCACAGGGGTGATTTGGTGATGGGAAACCCGTGGGGATTACAATCGAGATGGAAAAAAAAAATGTGCAAAATGATGTAAAAATAAACTTTGTAATAAAACAAAAACAAAAACAAATGTCTAGTGCTCTGGACATTGGTTGGCTTATTCAACTTATAATTCAGTAACCACCTTGTTGTCAGCCTCAAGTCGTCCTCATGTGAACATGGGGAGAGTTTCACACCCCCTCCCCCATGAAAGAGAAAACAAAACTGTCTTCCCCTTTACCAGAGGGCTGTCAGTCACCTGTAGACCTCCAGATGGGTCTGGGACTGAGTGTGGCCCAGGTTTAGTCTTAGCTTTGGGCATCAGCTTCACATGAAAGATGGACCACATTATTGAGAATGAGGAATTTCTTGGATTCATATCTGTTCAAATACTTCAAGGGCTGAAGTTCTAAAAAATGGACTGAACCGGTGGTGCTAAGATTGCCAGGCAAGCCCCACACTGAGATTTTCAGGGAGCTGGAGCCCTGTCTGCTGGAGCCCATGGCCACGGAGGCACCAATGAAGTAAGCGCCAACCAGTGAGGCAAATGACACACAGCAGGCCTGAGTGACATCACTTACTGTTGCTCAGCATCTTAACAAAGTTCAAGTTCTCGCTACCCCTGTCTAATCCTCACACAACCCTCTGAATGCCATGGAGAGCAGACCCATTTACTCATGAGCAAACATGTCTAGCTAGGCAATTTGCTTGAAGCTTCAGGACTAATAAGGTGACCTGGCACGCACACAACACTGGGCTCTGGGCAGGAGTTTCAGGATGGGTGAGGGACGTTGCTTCCCGGGAGAGTGGCTAGCACCACGACAAGGTGTTACAATTGGAAAGACCGAATAAATCACAATGATCACACACTAACAACACATGAATTATGTTGGGTTCTACTGAGCAAAAGGCCAAAAGTAAGTCTGTATTTACTGGAAAGTAGCATTTTACAAGAATACTTTCAAGCTTTTCTTTCCTCTCAGTTCTGAACTTTGGTCTTAAGTAATTATTATGGTATTCTGGCACTGGGCTGTAGAAATGGCAGGAAATTAAGTTATAACCATCTAGCACAGAGATATTAAAGAAAAAAACTGTCCCAGCAACAAAATAATTTCAAAATGTCAGCTTCAGTAGATATTAAGTTTTATAATAACTTAAGATTTTAATTTGTGATGCACTTTGTGAGAAAAGATAGGCTGTTTTAGCTTGCTAGAAACACTGACATTTGGCATAAGCTATGAGTGAAGGGCTTAGTAGTTCTGTGCTGTCATTCAACAGGGTTATTTGTGAAGAGTGAAGGCACACTGACTGCAAACAAATGGGTAGACTCACACAATAATGAAATAACTGATCTCTGTTATCCTTTGCTCTATATGCAAAGAGGCAAGGAACAGCAAAATAAGATTTGGCCGGGAAATCTCTGGACAAGCAGGAAGATGATAGCAGAAGTGTCACGTGGGCAGAATATGGATGATCCACACAACAAACCTCGGGGGGACCTGCCTGACTGCCCCCTACTCTAGTAACAAGCTCTTGAGGCCAGTTACAGGGCTTTCCCATGGTACATTGGGACAGAGTTGAGATTGATTAATTGCCAATTATGACTACTAGCCCTGAAGAAGTCCAGGAAGCCAAAATGTGTGTCTGTCTGTGTCCTTTGTTTCTTCTTGAATGGTTACATGTAGATCAGTGTCTAGGTACTCACTGTAGATTCTAGCATAATCAGAATGGAACACCAAACCATGAGACCTGAGCTGGGAAGTATTGTTACTTCCATGGAGAAGGTATAGGACAGATGCATTTTATCTAAGATACTGATCTGCCTCCCTCACCATGATGTCTCATTACAAAACTGGGTGCTCCCAACCTTAGATATCAGACACCAAACTTTTCATTCATCATTATTAAAGGCAGCAAAAAGATACAATTAACTCACAGGAAACAGGAATGGCAGCTTAATTGTAAGCCTCTCACACAGTAACTATTTCTTTTGGGTGTCCCCCTACCCTGGGGTTGAAAGGCATGGCTCTGAAATCAGCTAGCTTTCTAGGTTTTCCCACCCCGTCCAACCATGTACGGCCATGTACCCCTGTTCATTTATCCTGTGCCTCATATTTTTCATCTGTAAAATTGGGTTGAAAAGATAGGGACCCACCTCATAAGACTATAATGAGGACTCAAGGTGGACACCATGTCTGCAGAGGAAAAAACACTTTAGCTGTAACTAGCTCACCAGGGCACAGCCTGAGTGAATGAAGGTTACAGGCGTGAACAGAGGAAAGCCAGAGGTAAGAACTAGAGCTGGTAAGGGTTTGTTAAAACATTTTTAACAAATAATTTCCAAAGAGTAAAATTAAGACCAAGTTTGAGATCCTGGTTTCTTCTGGGATTTCACTAATTAAAATTTATTTCGACATACAAAAATGTGGTGGTAGAAAACATAAGCAATAAATTTGTTAAACTCCTCTCTAAAAATAGTTCCCCCGAGGCACTGAGTGTTCACTAAATGTTGCAGCTACCACTCTCCCATAATTGAGTCGAGAGTTTTCCCAAAGATAAATACACACATAATCTTGTCATAATACTTTTTTTTATTACAATATCCAAAAAACTGCTTATGCAAGTTTAGGAGTTCTCAAGACCCCTTCTTCAGCTGTACGAATGTGCCATCTCAAGACTGTCTATTTAAACTATAAAGAAGTTCAGATGTAAAGAAAAAAGAAATGCAATTTCTTCATAAACATTCTGTGTGTCTCTTACTACCAATCACATACTCTTTTGTAAACCCTGAAAAATTTCCCTGTAAAGCAAATAATATATATATGCATATATATCTACATATACATACATACATATACGTATATATTGTGTGTGTGAAGTGTTGGTAGCTCCCCTTCCCCAAAGATCAGCCATTTTCCTTAATCATCTGAATTAGTGTGAACAAATGACTACAGATACATATTATTTTGAGAATTAAATACATAATTGTGAAATTTAAACAAGCCAAAGGGCAAGAGGAAAAAGCACTATGCGGATGGCACGTATGGGGGTAAATTACCAAAACATCTGTCTTTCCGGGTCACCTTTCTGCAGACTGACTTTCAAGGAAATCCTTTCTTTATTGCAAGTACAGCCCCAAAGGCACTGGACAGTTCCTCACCACGGGGTCACCCGGTGGTTCCAGTATTGCTACTAGCAGTGGCTGACTCCCCGGAGAATGTGGGAGCCATGTGAGGGCAGAGGACACGAACAAAGGCTGCTAGGACCGGGGACCTTCCGTGCGCTGCCTGGGGCAGCAAAGAGCCACTGGCACCGCGTCCTGCGTGTACTGCACTTCCCGCCACCAACACAGCTTCAGTGCATTCAAACTGCACCCAATGTCTTTTAATGAGGGGCTGTGTTGGCTTGCCGTTCTGAGCAGGCTAAGGCTGACTCCAGAAGGAACAAAGTGGACAAATGGGCCCCTCTTCTGTCCTCTTCCTTTCTCTAAAACTGGCCAGGGTGGGGAGTGGGCTTGACCATGGGTATGAGAGCCTGGGATAGTGAAGGGGGTGGGGAGGGGTAGGAGTGGGTGGGAAGATGAAAACAAACCGACCTGGACCGAGTGATAAACCAGGCAAAGGAAGCCAATAAAGGAAGAACCACCAGACAGTGTGGAACCCTGGGCGGGACGGCCCAAGTCGGACGACGGCTTCTCAGGCGGAGCCGCTGGGCTCCGGGGAAGTGAGTGTGGCACCGAAGGCCTGGAGGTGGCAGGGCCCGGGAGGGGCTGTCACTGAAGTGCTCTGACGAGGTAGAGCTTCTCCCCGTGCTCACTAGTGAAGATGGGGGCCTTTTTGTAGTGTTCCACCAACTCGTCCATGGTCTGAAACCGCCGCTGTCCGATGCAGTAGACATTGTCCACAAGCTGCACCTTGAAGTGTTTGTTCTTCCCTGATGCTTTGAGAGACACGGAGAAGTCACTGGGCTGTGGATGAAACAGAGCACGGGTTACCGAGGGCCACGTGGGAAAGGAGATCGGAACGCCCCGACCAAAGCAGACCAGCCAGCCTGAGCAGGAGTGCTCACTATGGGAGCTCTAACTGCTGCTCCTGTTTGGCAGCAGCCGGTACCTGGAATTCAGAATGACGAGAGGCAGTCCAAGAATAATTAGACTTTGCTTAGTAAAGGTCCAGTGAGAGCTGGGGCTCACTGTGGAGTGTGTGACATGTCTCTGGTTGATGCAGGCTGGCTGCTGAGGAGACCTGCAGTTTTCACTGTCACTATTTTGGATAAACTGGAAATTTATTAAAAGCAGCTTTTCTGCAGATAATTTCCTCTCCTCTGATTTCTACCACTATCAGAAGTTAAACAGTTCTAATTCTCAGCTATTTAAAAATAAACACAGTGGAAAATTCTGGTTGCATTTTAAATACTGCGTATAATGCCCCAGAGGGGCTGTCCTTCTTGTACATGCATAGATCTTATGTCAGCACCTAGCTTATACTAGCCTGGAGTTTAGAAAGATACTATTGTTTCTATTAAAATGTGTCTCTTATTCTTTTACTGAAAACTTAGAGGAAAGGTATTGAATGAGTAATGTTCTTTGGAGAAAAATATCAATTCAACAGAAGTCGTTTCCTGGACACAGACCACATGTGAGGCCCTCCTCGCCTGACATGTGGACACGTGTGTGTGGCATGTGTAGACCCTACACGTCTCTAGGCTCATACAAGTGACAGCCCACTGGGGAAACAGATGAAAAGGATATGGAGATGCAAACTGTGGTAAATTTTATGAAGAGAAAGGTGGTGTTAAGGCGATCAGGTAGTGTGTGTGTGTGTGTGTGTGGGGGGGGGTGTCCTGTCAGAAATGGCTTCTGAAAAAAATGGAGTGAGCCCAAGCTCCATGGAAGATGGGACTGGTGCTAAGGGAAGCAGGGAACCTGAGGAAGACAGAGAGGGAGGTCCCCCCTCCTGAGGTAGCAAGTGGCCCACATGGCTGAGGGGGAGGGACGCTGGGTCCAGAAACAAAAACCAACTGCCACGTACTATAGCCCACCAAGACGGTGTCACCTGGCTCTTGTCCACAGATCCAGTTAATAAGATTAAGTATGGCCCACCAGACCATTTCCTGTTCATATTCTCTGGCTCTTTGCTTCTTTCCTCCTCTTTGGGCAACCATTACTGTGAGGCCCACGGCAAAGGTTTTGCCCCCCTTGTGAAGCTTCCCCATTCCCAAGCAAGAGAAGTTCTTCCCCTCCTTAGCTTGCTATTCTGGTATAAAGTTCAATCTCCCAGCGGCAGAAGGACAGTGTATTCCAGTAACCTCTCTGTAATAAATAATTTATACATATGTCTTTTCATAATGTATTAGGCCAGAGAGGGCATTGTCTTAGCCGCTGCTATATCCCAGAGTCCCATAGGTGGGAGGAGCCTAATACAGTTTCGGGTGAACTGAAGCCATCTTTCCCAAAACCCAGGAACATCGGGCTGCGTAATGTCCATCAGCTGGGGCCTCTCTCAGTGTTGCTTCTGGCAGGACAGATATCACACACTCCCAGGCCCACACACTCTATTACATGGCTTTTATGGACATTTGGCAAAATGTGTGCAAATCTTATAAAACAAGAAATAGCTCCATGCGAAACAATAACAATTTAGGAAAATAGGGTTCTGAGAACATCTAACTCTAGTAAGAGCTACCAAGTTCACCCATTGTCAGCTGTCAGTAAAAAAGAACCAATGAGACTACTGTAGAACTTGTATTTATGTTCCCTTCTGCCCCAAAGAGACCAAATAAAAACAAACTTTTCAGGGAAAACTCCCAGCTTATCTCCTAGCTAAGCCCAAAGTTGGGTGCCTTGCAGGAGACCCAGGATATGCTGGTGGGACAAACTCCAGGAAGAGATGAGGAAGTTTATCTTGGCTTAGACAGTAGAGTATACTTTTCAGGATCCTGGCCACTGGGGGGCAGGGGACCAGTGCGAGGGAGACACTGAAACTTGAAAATTAATTTTCCAACTAGATCTCTTAGGAATGCATCACAGCAAAACCTAATGTCATAGTTGATCCTGCCAAGCAACCCTATTAATATAATGCACAGCACAGAATGGCATTCGAAGTAATGTTTTGATTGCACAATTCCCAGGCAGTATAATTTTCAAAGGACTGAGCAAGACGGATGCAGGCCAGCCTTCATATTACTGGCAATCCCATCCAGGTTGGTTGCTGTGTACGGTCCTGGCTATGTCCAGACAGCCTGCTGCTCACAAGAGGCCCGGAGCAGGCGCACTGCCACAGGTAATCCTCCCGAGTAGACTAGGGTGCCACCTTGGCCTGTCACAACACATTTGCTCAACCCTCTCAACCAGGTTTCTGGTTTTCCTATGTCAAGGGAAAGGATGCCCTACAGAAACCCTGCAGAGTTCTGTGGACTCCACCTCCTACTCCAGCTTTCTGGACTCTATCCCCTAATCCAGTGATTGGAAACTACAACTCCCAGCAGTAGCAGGGAGAGAACTGTGAGGACCTAAGGGCGGAGCTAAGCAGGCATTCTTGGGACTTTGGGGGTTAAATAGGGTGCCATTTGCTATGGAGCTCTCTGGCTTTCTCCCAGGAAACCACATGACTGGGGCTTTCAGTTAGTTTGTTACCAGGAGCTCCAAGTCAGCCTAGCCAATAAGATATTCCAGTTATTTTGCATCCCTCTCTCTTTCCCTGGGTTTTTTCCTTTTCTTTCCTCCTTTTGTAAATAAACCCATTGTTGACCCTTTTGTGTGTGTGTGTGTGTGTGTGTGCACGCGCGCAGTACAACTGAATTTTAAGCGCGAAGGTGAGGCCCCAGACAGGCGGCCCAGTTCACACTGGGGTGCCCTGTAACACTTAGAGCAACTCAATGTCAAGCTCTTCACCATTTAATTTCTATCAGTGTATATATATTCTGTGCCAGAAGCTTGTGCCTTAAGTTGAAGGCAGAGGGCGAGCTCAAGTCTGTAGTTTAGCTCAAACCAGGTACTGAGCTAATTTTATAGTTTACTCAATTCATAGATTAAAGCAGCATTATTGTGGAGGTAGAAAGTGAGTACATTAGAACATGTATATGATAAATCTAATTTTAACTAAGTGATCAACAGATGACTTTCTAAACAGGAAATGGAACTTTTTTTTAAGATTCTGGGTCTTTTAAAAAAAAGTATTTATGCATACAGAACTGGGGTACAGGCCAGAGGTTCAGGGGCAGTGAGAGGATTCACCAGAGACTGAGTGGGAGCAGAACAGGCATATCAATGAACGGCACTGCTGAGGGGAGCAGCGGGTGGGCCAGGAGAGGTCTGCCACACCATGTGGATCACCTCTGGGGTGGGGATCGAACTCACACTGAAGTGGCTGTGGCTAGTTTGCAATGCTGCATCTAACCCGCTGCACCACCGCTCCTTAACTACAAAGGTACATGTAAAAATGATGCTGTAGAGTCAGTAGTTTTTAATTTTGCTGGTTCCTGAGTAGAAACCTTAAAGTTAAGGACTAAAAGCACTAAAAGGTTGGGAAATGCTTAATTAACCTGTGTAGATTTGCCAATCTAAATATGAAGTTGCATTGTTTCATGCTCTCACCGCAGCTGAATGAAGCCACTGATGAACCAGAGCAGTGCTTCTCCGAATGTGATCCTGCCTACCAGCATTAACATTACCTGGGTCTTGTAAGAAAAAGCAAATCTCAGGCCCTGCCCAGACCCACAGAATCAGAATCAGGGTGGGGCCCAGCCACCTGTGCTTCACCCCCAGTAATGTTTTAATGGGACCTCCAGGGGCTCCTGAGACTGTTTGAGGAGAGAAATGACAGCTGGGCCAACTTCCAGCAGTGCTTTAAAAAATGGTCAGAGCCACCAGAAAAAGAAACAAGGATGACTTAGGGTTAAGCAGTCCCTCAAAGGAGGAAGTTCCACAGTTGATCTCACCCTTCCACCCCCACCACCTTGGGGATGCCTTTCTGATTGGATCCTGAAGAGCCTGGTCTTGCTCCAAGCATTCCTGGGAGGAATTTCTCCAGGTGCATGGCAGGGCCCTGCTCTAAGACCTCTCCCTGCAGACTGAGCCAGTTTCCCAAAACCGATGGATACAGAGCTACCCCAGAGCCCAATAACCCTGCCTTGCAAAAGCAGGGATGATCACGGGATACCAACGCCACTAGTACTGTCCTCACCTGCTGTGATTCCTCTAGGCTTGGCTTTCTGAAACAGACTTAATGAAACTGGATGAAAAAGGACTATGTCACTTTTACCTCAACAAGTCATGGTCTACTGATATGACTCACACTTAAATCTAAGCTTGTCAAAGGAACTCAGTATGATTTTGTTTCAATACCACATTAAGGACCTAAATGAACACCAGTCTGACACCCTCTGTGCACACAGGCTTTGTCTGGGGTGTGAATGAAATGAAGGTTGCTGAGTCTCCTTCATGGGAGGCCAACAAGCCTGAGCGACTGCTGCAGTAGAAAGGGTGCTGGACTTGGGGCTCTTATTCATAAAGGCGACTATAGACTGCTCTGTTGAAGAGTTTCTGCACTATGAAGAAACACTGGAGAGAGGCATTTCTTAAGAACACAGCAATTCCATGCCACAAGCGTGCATGAGAGAAGTGCATTTCTGTGCACCTGGAGCATGGATACAGAGGTTCCCTCTGTCTCATCTTTAAATGAAGCTTTTACTATTCTTTTCCAAATGCGTATGTATGTGTGTTTAGTCCTTCCTGCCTCCCAAAACATAGTTCCACAAGTTAAATGTGAGTAGAGACTTCTGGAATATTGTCCTTATTTATTAATTTTGGTCTTTTAGCCCTGACATGCCTGCCTGGTCAATAAATGATATTCAATGATTCAAGTAAGAATTTTTCCATACAATAGGCACTGCTACTTAAAGACTTGAATCATTTTGATATGCCACACTTGGGGGTCTCTCAGGCTTGTTAAAACTGAGGCTGCAACAGTACACTCCAGAGACTGAGATTCGGCAGGTCCAAGCAGCGCGTGATAATCTGTAATTTTAGTTAGTAGTTCAGTGGTGACACTGATGTTGCTGGCCCAGGACACCTGCTGAAAACTATTGCCACGGAGTCTGAGGAAGATGTTACGCATTAAAAAAAAAAAAAAAAAGTGGCATATCCATACAGGGATCTCATTCATCCTTAAAAAAGAATGAGATTCTGACACTCATGCTAATGTGTGGGTAAACCTGGAGGACAGTATGCCACATGACATATGTTAGTCGTGAAAGGACATACACTGTATGTTCTGGTCATGGGAAGAGCTCAGGGTAATTGAATTCATAGAGACAGAAAGTAGCAAGCTGCCAGGGACTGGGAAGGTGAAGTGAGTAGTGCATAATGATGTGGAGTTCTCAGTAGGGACATGGAAAATTCTGGAAAGGAAGGGTGGTGAGTGTTACACAAAAGCATGAGTGGACTGAATGCCACCGAACTTGACACTGAGAAATGGTTCAAATGGCAAATCACATGCCATGTATATTTTGCCACAAAATTTTCTTGCCTACATCTATGTTTTGTTAAAGATTCATGAAATTCTGGTGGACAGATGAGAACTCTGACAGAGGAACCAAAGCATCAGGGTGGGAGGTGCAGGCTTTGCTTGCCCAGGAGGCTCTGGCTGCTGGGGCTGCTGGGTGAGGCGAGGTGCAGAGCTCCAGGGCAGCACCTTTTGCGAGGGCCCAGCGTGCTACAAAGAGCTCCCCACCGTCTGCAGGTCACCCGGGACAACTGTGACTCCAGTTAATGACTTCCTAGCGGGCATGTGGCAGTGAGAGACAAGGCTCAAATGTGGCTCCTGAAAAAAGAATTTTCTTTCTCTCTGAGTCAAGGTCAGGCAACAGTTATGCCCCCACCTTTACTATGAGCCATTCTTCTCTTGACTTTAAAAAAAAAAACTATGGTGATACTGACTGGTTCTGCCCGGTCTCCTGGCATATCTGAATACTGGCAATATTGGAAAAAATACCTTACAAACCTCTGCTGTTGAGAACAAAGTGTAAAACAAATGACCTTGTGGTGATTTTTAACATCTGATGGTGGGAAAAACTGCTTCCTAAACATGGCTGATATCACTTCGACAGATCTCATCTTAGGAAGCTGGCAATTTCTGAATTACTTTCCACAAGATGGGTGACTATAACAAATAAGGAAATGAAACAGAAAATTTACACAGTTTACCAGAAATCTAGTTACAGGTTATTTTAATTTTGAATACAACCTTTTAATCTTACCCAGAGTGTATGGACAACTGTATAAGGATTTATGATGAGCTTTCAGGGGCCAGGTGGGAGTTTTGCATTTTCCACATTCAATGAACTATGGATGAGCAGGTGGTGGAATGCTAATTAAATATGTAGAATAAGAAATGATGTTGTTTCATCTTTAGCCGCTAAGGTAAATGACAAGTACAGACAGGAGAGGAGAATAAGGGAAGGAGAGAGAGAAGCTGGGAGAAAGAACAAATGCAGACACAGGGATTTGGGACAGGAAAGAGATTCAGTAAACTCATTTGTTCATTCACTCAGTCATGAAATGAAGTACCCAGTACCCCAAACTACCCACTACCTTGGTGATAATGAATATCATAAAATGTGGTAATGTTTTTGTTTGTTTTCCCTGAAATATGCACCTCTTCTGGAAAAAGCAGAACTCCTAGGATTAGAGTTGGGTATATTTTTACTTTTCAAAACAGAACAATACTAAGTATTTTTGAATGCAAGATCCTTGAAAGTAAGAGTCTAACTTATTTATACTGGAATCACTCAGGATATTTTTTAAATGGTAAACATCCTGAAGAGACACTCTAAAAAAACACCGTGCTTATTTAGAAGTCAGGTGTCCTCTCGTGACCTCAATCAAAGGAAAGGCCAGCAGAAAGAAAGAAGGAAATTCAATGAAGATGTCTCTGTGTCTTGTGCCGGAAGGCAGACCCCATCAGAAACCTCTGTCCTCACACAATACCATGCCTGTTAGACATGAACTTCAGCGCTCAAGTTGACCTTGCGGTGGCTGTGAAAGCCAGGCTTGCATCTTAGAAATGCCAAAATGATCAGGGAAAACGAAACAAAATAGAAGGGGAGATGCTGGTAAGAGCAAAGGCCATATAGATGGTGAGAGTGGAATACAGATGGTGAGAATGGAATGAGCCTTTGGACAGCGCTCAGCAGTCCCAGGTGACAGCTAAAAATGGACCTGAGTGAGAGAAACAGCAAAGCCAGGCTAGTTCTGCTCTCAGGAGACGAGCAGCATGGCACCAGCGAGTCCCCTGCAGCAGTCCTGTTCCAGGCAGGCGCAACACAGTGTATTTATATAACAAATACTCACATCAAGGAAAAAGCCCTGTGCACCAACAGCCGCACAGTGGTGGGTCTTGAGGTCAAGATACTACAGTGCGGAGTTGACAGCAAACCGCCCTCTCCCACACGTGTGGACTCAGGGAAAGCAGGAGCCCCGCCCCACCCAACGGGACTGGTCTCTGAGCTCAGACCTTGCTCATGTCTTGTCCCACAGAAAAACAACAGTCTTATGTGAGGCCAGCAATCTGCAGGGTGCTTTCCTCATCTACCTCTTACTAAGGGCTGTCCACTTCTCCCCAAGAACTATTAAGAAAGATTAATAAGTGGCCAGAAGTCTCTCCATAATGGGACTGCTTGAACTTATTCTTTTTAAGAAGTCTTTTCAAACTCAAAATTTCTAAATCAAGATTATACTTTTGCACTATGAGTTATAACTCCTGTAAACACTGACTAGTCGCTTTATATTGCAACTAGTTTTCCATTGTTTTCTCTTAGTTTCTGCTTAAAGAAACTTAATTCTCGTAAGTCTCAAACATGACCTATAAGAAGCGATGTGCAGAGGTTACCTCACGGGAGAACAATTTAATGTGATGTTTTGCCAGAAATGATAAGCTGGGAGGCTGGCTAAGGGAGCCTCTGTGCTTGGATTTCGGACAGTTAGTGTTTAGGCACAGTGCGCTTGTCTTGCACATCTAAGGCTGCCGCTCACTCGAGCTGCTGACACGGTAGAGGAGTCTGGTTTCCTCTCCCCCGATGCTGCTTCATAACGAACAGATCACAGCTGCCTCTCCGCAGAAGAAAAACACTCCTGTGACCTTGGCTCCCTCTCAGGACGGTGAATAGCAGCTTTGAATACACACTTATTAGTGTGCTATTAACCTTATTAGAAAATAATTATGAGTACAAAGTACATGCTTCCTACTTTTATAGCTGGTGTACACAAAAAATTAAACCGAAGTAGGCTATAACCAACACAGTGTAATCATAAAAGACTCTTAATACTCATTTTGGGCGGGGGGGGGGGGCGCTGACTCTGCGGAAGAAGTTTTCGCAAAGAGGTCTATAAAAAAATGGTGAACACACAAAAAGGCTACTGTGTGGGGTAGCGGCTCGGTCAGTGCAGACGGACTCAACCACGCATGCGGAACACAAACCCCAGATTGGTCTACGCTGGAAATGGGCCTGCTGCAAGTCAAGCGGCCTCAGACACCCCATTCAGTCCACACACACAAACTCATCTCTCTCGAGAACTGTCTTTTTCTTTTCTATTCCGTTCACAAGTGCTTTAAAAGCTTCTCAAAGATGAAAGTGGTGCGGCTCAAGGCAGAGATGACCTTGGGATTACATGGTTTAAAATGAAAACAAACCAAGTAACAAAAGGTTGGGTAAGAAGCCAGGCGCCTGTCTGGCTGAGAACATTTGCCGTGCCTCCCACCTAGAGAGAAGCAAAGTCAACTGCCAGGGCTCAGGAGGGTCATTAACAGAGTGGGAACCTGCGAGAAAAATGTGTTTGGAGTCCTTAGAATAGAAAAGCGGAAATCTCAGTCAGGAGGCAAGACAAGCTTCAGCAGCTAAAAATCATTTTACTTACCCTCCCATCTGCAAGAATACATCTCCAGGAGAATACCGGCCACTGTCCGTAGGTGAGCTTACACTGAAAGCAAATCTAAGAATGCGGCAGCAGAGCAACCTGACATAGGTCACACGGAAGAATGGGGTTCGTGGCATTTAATATGAGCCCCAAATATCTTTTTGCTATTTCAAGTATATATTCGCAGAATCTGAAATGGGAGTGGCATGCAAGATCAAAATGGCATCCCTCTTTTTCTTCCCTCTCCCTCCCCCGACCTGGAGATTCAGACACTTACCGAAGACTCGCTGTCCCTAATGAGGAAATCACCCTCGACGCCCCTTTCGTTGAGGGCGCACTCGGCCTGGTGCCGCGTCACGTTCCCGTAGTACCACTCTCTGCCTGCAAACCGCCCGGTGCACGCAGGCCCCGGGTAGCTTATCTGCGGGGTGTGTGAAGGGTGCAGGGCTGGCCCATCACTTAGGACCACCACGTAGTTTTTGGGGACAAGGCCGACCTGCCCCCGGGCGTTTTTGCATTTCCACCACTCCGGGTCATTTTCAGGTTTCTCAATCACTTCCATGGTCTCTCCCTTCTCGAAATTGAGCTCCTCCTCGGTGACTGAACTGAAGGGGTACAGCGTCTGCACCACATGCAGGACCCGCCCCCCCTGGCCATTGCTCATGGAGGCGCCCTTGCGCAGACTCAGAAAGCTGGGGGACTCAGCGGCAGCCTCATCCACCTCCTCCAAGACGTAGTTGGAGGGAAACCAGCCGATCTGCCCGTTGTAGCTGCCTCGCCACCAGCCGTCGCTGCACTTCTCCATGACGGTGACACGCGAGCCCTTGACCAGAGACAGCTCATCTTCCCTCTCAGCCACGTAGGCGAACTTGACGAAGGCCGGGATGTTGAGGTCATAGATGCGGTCCGCGCCACCCCCATTGGCCGGGTACTCGGCGTCCGTGCTGGGAGTGGGCGACGCATCCCGCGCGCTCGTCTTCCTCTTTGTCTTGCCCAGGCCTGTGGAGACACAGCAAGGGCTCAGTAGAAGGGGCCACTTGGTTTGTTAACCAGGCACCTGCACCTCTGCTATGACCTCCCCACCCACAGGATCCAAGGGGGAGCATAATCATTATGGTTACCAGCTACGGTTATCACAGAAAAAGAAAATGTCCTATGTTGTTATGGAGAGTGGCTCAAAGTTGGAAAGTAATAAAACTGATTTTTAATTGTAAAAGTATTCCAGGCCCTCCCTGGTGGCGCAGCAGGTTAAAGCACAGCACTGAGAATCTAAAGCCGCTTCCGCATGAGTTCTATCCCCGCCTGCCCCCGGAGGTGACCACATGGCGCGGCAGACCTCTCCTGACCCGCCCGCTGCTCCCCTCAGCAGTGTACTTCGTTGATCTGCCTGTTCTGCTCCCCACTCTGTCTCTGGTGAAGCCTCTCGCCGCCCCTGAGCCTCTGGCCTGTACCCCAGTTCTGTATGCACAAATAAATAAATCTTAAAAAAAAAAAGTATTCCAGAGTGGGCCTTTCCTGGTGGTGCAACGAGTTAAACGTGCAGCGCTATGAAGCTAGCTCCAGCTGCTTCGGAAGGAGTTCCATCCCAGGCCATAGAGCTGACCCGCATGGCGTAGCAGACTTCGGCCTGACCTGCCCACTGCGCCCCACAACAGTGTACTTTGTCAATCTGCCTGTTCTCTCCACCTGCCCCCCCCTACCCTGGCCCCATCACCCCTGTCTCTGGTGAATCCTCTTGCAGTCCTGCACCTCTGGCTCATACCCCAGTTCTCTCTGCATTAAAAAAAAAAAAAAAAAAAAAAAGTCCACAGTACCAGCAACACAAAAGATAAAATAGTAAAAATTCAAGCTTCTAAAATAATGATACGCTTGTAACATTGTATCCCAAGAGAATACTTGTTATACTTAGAAAAACATGGTATAAAGGCTAAGACATGTCCTCTGAATTCTTGCAGCTGGCTGCCAGTGGAATAAAAGAATTATAAGATCCCTCCCAACTGTACTGTGGGTCAAGTCTTGTGCCCTGCTCCATCAGGCCTTCCACTGGACCACGCACCCTAGGAAGATGGTAGGGGTCCTAAGTATAGCAGTATAGCACCCCGACACTTATTTCTTCTCTTCCTAAATTCTTTTCTTTCAAAACTGCAGACATTTCCCATAGCATAGAAGGTTGTGATGGGTGGATTAGGAAAAATGAGTTATGCTAATCATACAACAGAACTTTTTATGACTCAAAATCTACTAATGGGTTATAAAAATCACTATAATGGATTGGGACCAGCCTACATGAGTGTGTTGGTCTTTTAAAGGAGTTAAACAGAAGATCTTAGTGTGCATCAACATAGGAAATCCACTGGTGCTTCTATTTTATATATGTCAGTGCTGAGTTGTAATGTGAAACATTTTTTTTATGCATGAGGAAAATGGTTTTAAAACCCTAAAGTAAAAATGCTTAAACCTGGTTAAAATTCCAGCACCTTCTTGAGCAGTGAGTCCTGGGGAAGAAAGCACATCAGCCCCCTACACTAGAAGGACTGGCCATGCTTTTCAGCCCTCTTGACAAGTGGTGACTCACCTACCATGCCTTCAATGGCTTCAGCCTCTTTTCTTAGTCAACACAGGAATTTGGATGGTATTGAAATTGTAGCTAAATGCAGATTTATTTTTTTTTTGCCTTCAAAACACCAAAACACTCTTATGGATAACTTGTACTCCTTTCTCCTCTTATTCCTTCAACCAGAGGGTAGCTTCCTTGCCCAGCAGGCAGGCAGGGCCAGAGGGATTAAAAATGCTGTATCACGCTGGTTCTCTATGCAGAGGACTGACGGCCTTCTAGATAGGTCCCTCTCAGCATCGCCATTTGGGAAAGGGTGCATATGAGGTGACAGCCCACTAATGTGATCTCCCATAGATTTTCAAATGAATCCACCAATTCTGTAAACTAGTGGTTTCTGTTGTTCCTTTCTGCACCATTTTACTCAGGTACACAGGAAATACAAACAGGGTATTGGACCAAATTGAAAATGAAAGAACTTCCTTTACACGAAAACCTGAACCTCTCCATCTTAGAAAGAAGCCTTCCATGTCTTTTCAAACAGGATGTCATTTCTAACTATGCCATGAGAGAACGGGCAGCTTCACATTCCGAAGGCAGCCTGCTCGTGCTGTGGTCCCTGCAGGCACAACTCTCAGCCTAGCAGCCTACACAACCCGGCAGAGTGCAATGTTTACTGGCAACAGAGACTGTAAGACCTCATTTAGAAATAATGTCTTAATAGATCTTTTCAAAGCTACTCAAGAAATTACTTTGGTAGGAGCAGGCTTCAGAACATAAAGGTGTCAATATTCTCAGAAAAGACACTGGAATTTAGTAGCCCTCATTAATAAATTGTTGAAGACATTACTTTGATGACTTTTTTCAAACACAAAATAATTTAAATAAATTACTTTTCCCACCAAGGTCCTGCCAGGCATCATCTTAGATTTTAGGGAAAGTAAATAAAAAGGACACACTTCCTGTCCAAACAGAGCATCCATTTCTCTACAGAGAACAAAACATTCTACATAGCAATCATACCATGGACATTAATCCGTTTTGCTTTAATGTGGTCTAAATAGTTTTTGAGACAATCAGGCGAGGGAGGAGTGGGTAATACAGCTGAATAATTGGGAGGATTTTCAGGGTAAACCATAGCTGGATTCTTAGGCAAGTTATTTAATCTCTGTCTTAGTTTCAAACCCATAAAATGCACACATTCATGTACACATGAATCTGCTGACTAGGGTAGCCAAAACAAAGAATCAGTCTGAGGCGTCTAAACCACAAAAAATAATTCTCTCGTCACTTTGGGGCCTGTAAATCAAGATTGGGTGTAGCCAAGATGAGTCCTCTTGTGTCCTTTCTTTGACTTGTGGTGGGATCTTTCTGTGTATGTTTATTTAAAAATTTTTAAATTTTTTTTTTTGTGTAGAAGAACTGGGGTATAGACCAGAGGTTCAGAAGGATTCACCAGAGACAGAGTGGGGAGAAAATCAGGTGTATTTTTTTTTTAAGATTTATTTATTTGTATATACAGAACTGGGGTACAGGCCAGAGGTGCAGGGGCAGTGAGAAGATTCACCAGAGACAGAGAGGGGAGCAGAATAGGCAGATTGATGAAGTACACTGCTGAGGGGAGCAGCGGGCGGGTCAGGAGAGGTCTGTTGTGCCATGTGGTCACCTCTGGGACAGGCGGGTATCGAATTCATGAGGAAGTGGCTTTAGCTTCTTAGTGCTGTGCTTTAACCCGCTGCGCCACCATGGAGGGCTCAAATCAGGTGGATTTACCTGTACACGTCGGGGGGAGCAGCAGGTGGGATAGGAGAGGTGTGCTGCCCCACGTGGGTCAGTTCCCTGGTTGTAGCAGTGATAGTGCTGAGACTCACCCCCCACCAGGAAGGCCTTGCCTTGTCTGATTTATCTTGACATAACACCTTCAAGGTCTATCCATGTCACAAATCCCAAGATTTCCTTCTTCGTGTCAGAATGCTATTTTACTGTCTTATAAAACAGTCACTTTGGATTAGGGCCTGTCCTTAAAGGCCCATCCTTAAATTTTAACTCAACCTCTTTATGGGTCATAAACCAAACACAGTCTCATCCTAAGATACTGGGGAGATTACGAATTCAACATATGAATTGAGGGATGTTAATTTTGCCCATAACAGGAGTCCAGATTCAGATTATAGAGCACGGGAAATGACTATTCTTATTACTGAGTTAGGACTTGGATTTCTTTTTTTCCCACAGACAGCATTTTACCAGAAGGCCAAAGTCCTCTTTGAATGCCCTGAGCCATGATTCTACCAGAGCCAGATGGCCACCAAAATAAGAAAGCTTGTCTGTCAGGCTTCTGGCAGCCGGGGAACATTATTCCACGACAGCAATGTCGTACATAGTCACTATGATGGTGAAAACCAAGTAAAAAGTATCTAGGGATGGATAAGGAGAAACCCGATCTTACTGACATCTACATTATTTTCTCCTTTATAACAATTCTGTGACATAGTGGACATTCCCACCATTTTTGAAAATAGGGAAACTGAGGCAGAAATATATCAGGGAAATGGTACAACACGTGGCACTGTCAGACCCGTGTCTAAACAGAAGCCTGTTTAATCCCTTTTAAGGAAAGGGAAGAGGTGCCGTTCTGCCAGAGGTGTGATTTCTATGGCAAATGCACCATCATCGTACCACGATTTTTTTTTTTTTTAAAGATTTATTTTATTTTGTGCATACAGAACTGGGGTACAGGCCAGAGATGCGGAGGGTGAGAGGCTTCACCAGAGACAGAGTGGGGAGCAGACCAGGCAGATCAACGAAGTACACTGCTGAGGGGAGCAGGGGGCGGGCCAGGAGAGGTCTGCCACACCATGTGGTCACCTCCGGGGCAGGCGGGAATCGAACTCATGCGGAAGGCGGGAATCGAACTCATGCGGAAGCGGCTTTAGATTCTCAGTGCTGTGCTTTAACCCGCTGCGCCACCAGGGAGGGCCCCGTACCACGATTTTTATGGGAAATGTTTTCAGGACTCCGAATTTGGGCGTCAAGCGTCTATCCTGGTGCTAACTCCCCATCACTTTCCCTCTCCAGTAACAATAAAACCTTCCTGATTTGAGGCAGTGTTTCCTCTCTTCCTCCACTTCCTGATTTTGTCCGACACCCAGAGCCAGGGGTCTTTGGGACAGACGGGGAGATCCTAAGGTGTGGGCAAGCAAGTTGCAACTTGCACTTCCCCATTTACTGCAGAGAATACCTGAAACAGCCAAGTGGCTGCCCATGGGCAGAGGTAAACTTGGGGATGAGGTGCTGGGCACCATGTCGGGGTGAGAGGTGAGGGAGAAGCTGACCTTCCTACATGAGGACAATTAAGTAAGCTGCAACCAAGAGTCACGCCATCTCGAATATGATGGCTATGACAGCAATCTCTGGGGGCTCAGCAGCCCTCCACTGCTGTCTT